AAAAAAAAAAAGGAAAAAAAAGAAAATGCTCACTGGACCATTTTGGGTTTTGGATTTTAGATTAGGAATGCTAAACTGGTAATGATGCAAATATTCTGAAATCTGAAAAAAAAATGCAAAATCCAAAAATCTTCTGGTCCTAAGCATTTCAGATATGGAATTCTCAAGCTGTAGTCTAATAGGATTAATAGTAATAGGATTGTTGTTAGGTGCTTAGATGAGTACCATGTAAACGTGTGTGCATTGCATTAGTTTTACCCCCCCTTACAGATTCTCCACTTCCTTGTCATGGACATGTCTTATCTGCTTAACAACTTTAATAGTATATAGACCTGTCCTAAATTTTACCTCCACAAGGTAGGCCAGTAATCTATCACTGGCTTTGGGCTGGGTGCAGTGGCTCATGCCTGTAATCCTAGCACTCTGGGAAGCCGAGGCAGGTGGATCTTCTGAGCTCAGGAGTTTGAGACGAGCCTGAGCAAGAGGGAGACCCCGTATCTGAAAAATAGATGGGCGCCCATAATCCCAGCTACTTGGGAGGCTGAGGCAAGGAGATCACTTAAACTGAAGAATTTGAGGTTGCTGTAAGCTATGATGCCACGGCACTAAACCTAGAGCACAGTGTGAGTCTCTGTCTAAAACAACAACAACAACAACAACAACAAAACCCCTATCATTGGCTTCATGTGACTTTGACGATGGGAAATACATTTTCCAATCTCCAAACTCTTCATAACTCTTAAGTCACACCAGCATTTCTCCCAGAACTGGCTACATCGGGTGTGTTCTTAAAACCACCTCATGGCTCGGCACCTGTGGCTCAAGCGGCTAAGGCGCCGGCCACATACACCTGAGTTGGCCAGTTCGAATCCAGCATGGACCTGCCGAACAACAGTGATGACTGCAACCGAAAAATAGCCGGGTGTTGTGGTGGGCGCCTGGAGTCCCAGCTACTTGGGAGGCTGAGGCAGAATTGCTTGAGCCCAGGACTTGGATGTTGCCGTGAGCTGTGATGCCATGGCACTCTACCCAGGGCAACAGCTTGAGGCTCTGTCTCCAAAAAAAAAAAAAAACCCACTTCACCTCTGCTGCTAATTCATGTTCAACTCTTTCAAGTCAGATCTTTTTGGTCAGTGGCAAAGGACGCAAAATGCCAATCAAGACATCCGGCATGCTTACCTTTGTGTGCAGATATTATCATTTCTTTAAAACTATATGATCCATTCCACATTCATCTGGGTTTACTAATAACAAATAATAGTGCTGCCTCTAAAATCAAAACTTAGAGGCCACTCTTGAAACATGCGTCATGATTTCAGAGTTGTTGACATGTGACAAAACATGTATCTTAGAGGATATGGATCAAGGAAATAGCATCTACTATATGCCAGGCGCCGTGCAGAGCAGTGTATATTGATTAGTTCATTTCGTTCTCATAGCATGGCTATTAAGTAGGTCCTATTTTATCTCCATCATCCATTAAGCATGGCTTAGCGATGTGACTTGCCCAAGGTCAGAGTGGAACTAGGCTTGGGGCACTAGGTATTCAGACTGGACACCCAGGGCTGCCCTATTTAACACATAGCTCCTAATGTGTAAATATATCAGTGTACCCCTGGGGGTGGACATCTCATAGATTTAAGACTTTAACTATTTATTTGTAAATAACGTTTTTGTTTACCTACCTACTTGTAAAATGTCTAAACATTTTGAAATCAGTGATTAAAAGAAACAATTTTGAGTGTGTATTATTATTTTTGTTTTCCTTTGGACAATATTTTTCCTCTGCGAGAGCCAGGAGTTTTATCTATTCTATTTTGTTCACTGCAGTACCCCAAGCATTTAAAACAGAGCTGGGCATGTTGTAAGCATCCAAATCAAATTAATTGATTGTTGAACGAATACAGGGGACTATTTTTTGTGTTCTAATAATAATCCATTTATGTGGGCACATGAAAATATGTCAAACTTTTTTTTTTGCAGTTTTTGGCCAGGGCTGGGTTTGAACCCACCACCTCCAGCATATGGGGCTGGCGCCCTACTCCTTTGAGCCACAGGCGGCACTCAAGGTGTCAAACTTTTCAGGCCTCACATAGACACATCCTCTCTGAGGGACCTTCCCGGATTCCCCAGGTAGTAATAATATTTTATTCCCCTAAACCTCATTTATGTGGATTTGTAGTTTTCTTCCCTGAAAATTATCTCATTGATACTACCCTAGTCCCCTAAGCTTCTGGAGAACTAGCCTGTTTAGTCTATCCTGGATCCTTCTATTTGTTAAACAATTAAATGAATGTTTTTAGTCTACTAAGAGATCTGGCAGTTCCAAGGAAAAAACACATACCATTTGAAGTGAGGAATGATAGGCGCAGTGCCTGTGGCTGAAGTGGCTAAGG